GACAGCAGTTCGCTATGTGTTAATTATCCACAATTAAAGCAGTGACACGGTTCTCATGCTCACAGGACCACTCCCGTGCCACAGACATGCCAGGTTCTCGCTTCACAAACACAGAGGGTGCAGTTGTCTGTTTTAAAGAATAAAGTAATACAACTAAGGTGACTTTCTCATGCCGCTGCTGAGTAACGGAGGAACACTGTGGGAGTGACGCTCATCTATTTCCTCGCACTGGCCAGGAAGGGCGGCCTGGGCTTCGCTGTGTGGCTCTCATACCTGCCGCTGTTGAAGGGCCTTCGCTCACTCGGAACAGCCCGGGTGCCAAGGTGGTGAATGTTGGGGCGACCTGTTCCCACCCATTTGTCACAGTGAAGTTCGAGGTACAGTAGAAGTTAATGTGGGTGCTAATGCTTGTCATGCCCACCTGCTCGGGACTGCACAGACCGGCTATTCTGTCAGGAGGCCTGAAAACAGACAGACTGCGGGACGTTACGGAGATAGAGGGTCCCTGGCCCTGGCGCGACCTGTGACCTCTGCGGACAAGGAGCCTCCGGAGTTCCGGTGATGGTAACATGAAAAAATAGGTTCGGATACTAACTAGAGTCAGGTTGTCTGTGACAAAACCATTCTTGCTCATGGCTAGGAAGTATTCCTCAGCCAGTCACTGTCTGGAGAGATTACTCTAAGTCATCCTGAAATTGTTTGGGGATTTTTTTTCTGAAGTACAAGCTTTACTTTCATTTGAATCGTGAGCTAGCTGTGTGCCCACTTGCAACTCCCGGCTGAAGAATCCGCAGTGAGCACAGGGACATGCTAATGAGCCCGCGGTTCCTCGCTGCTTGTCATTTGTCGGGATTGCTTTTATTCAAAATTGCATAAGCCAGTTGACAAAGAACTTTATAGGATTGTGGCAACTTTGAGGGGCAGGAAATCTGAAATCACAGATCTGCCTAGAAAGGTAGGCAGCCCAGTCATGTCTGCCTGACTCGCAAGGGCACATCCCGGGTGGGGGAACAGGCTCCACAGAGGCGCCACAGCCCGCGGACGCCTGGGAGACTCGTCTTTGAAGAAGATTGGAGAGCTTCGTCACAAAACACCCAGATGGGAGGGCCGGCCGGCCGGCTTCCCTGTAACAACATGGAGCTGTGCTTGCTACGCTTGGTTTTCCTTTTCACAACTTGCCACCGAGAATTATTCACAACTTAAGCTTCCTTGCCTTTCTGAAAACTCATTTAATTTGTTCCGGAATGTTCAAAGTGGTGCTAGAATAACCGTTTTGCCCTGTTAGGCGTAAGATAAAATTTGCTCCCAGTTTTGCATGGTGTTGCTTGGCTCTGCGGAACCGTTTCCTATAAATACACAGTAGGGTTGGTTTTCTATGTGCTGGAAATCTCTGCGTCTGACAGCATTGGTTTATCCTCTGTACCTGAGGCTTTTAAAAAGAGCCCACTGGTCAGCAAGCTGTGACAGTCCCTCGGCGTTTCCACAGAGAGGAAGGAGCCTAAGGACAGGTGGACCGAGTCCCGGCGACGGCCGGGCAGGCCCGTGGTGGCCGCTCTCGCCGGCCGAAGGGCCCTACAGTTTGCCTGCTTTTACTCGAGTAGGACTTCGTGTCCTGCCTCATCCGAGACGGAGCCCTGTCCACGCGGTGGCACTTTTCCAGCGGAGGGTTCCTTCTGTTACCACAGAGGTCAGGGCACGGAGGGGCCTTTCCTCGGCGCGCGCCCCACGTGGTCCAGGCCGCTCAGCCAGCCTCTGCCGGCGCTCCGCCAGGGGATGACCAGAGAACACGGCCCGTCTCCGGGCAGTTTCCTGATTAACATCCAAGTCAAGGGCACGTTGTCCTTCTGAACACCTTGTGACACCTGGTGACATCTGACAGTGTTTTGGAAATGTCTTTGTTCATTATTTACGTGACAATTATAGATTTTCGCTATTTAAAGGCAAGACACACACTTCTCCTAAGTCACAGCCTACCCAGCGCCATGCACAGGTGGCAGGTGCTCTCCAAACAGTGAGCGTGAGCACCCACAGGTGACGGGGGCCCCTCGCAAGACCCTGAACACCCACAGGTGACGGGCGCCCCTCGCAAGACCCTGAACACCCACAGGTGACGGGCGCCCCTCGCAAGACCCTGAACACCCACAGGTGACGGGCGCCCCTCGCAAGACCCTGAACACCCACAGGTGACGGGCGCCCCTCGCAAGACCCTGAACACCCACAGGTGACGGGCACCCCTCTCAAGACCCTGAACATCCACAGGTGACGGGCGCCCCTCGCAAGACCCTGAACACCCACAGGTGACGGGCGCCCCTCGCAAGACCCTGAACACCCACAGGTGACGGGCGCCCCTCGCAAGACCCTGAACACCCACAGGTGACGGGCGCCCCTCGCAAGACCCTGAACACCCACAGGTGACGGGCGCCCCTCGCAAGACCCTGAACACCCACAGGTGACGGGCGCCCCTCGCAAGACCCTGAACACCCACAGGTGACGGGCGCCCCTCGCAAGACCCTGAACACCCACAGGTGACGGGCGCCCCTCGCAAGACCCTGAACACCCACAGGTGACGGGCGCCCCTCGCAAGACCCTGAACACCCACAGGTGACGGGCGCCCCTCGCAAGACCCTGAACACCCACAGGTGACGGGCGCCCCTCGCAAGACCCTGAACACCCACAGGTGACGGGCGCCCCTCGCAAGACCCTGAACACCCACAGGTGACGGGCGCCCCTCGCAAGACCCTGAACACCCACAGGTGACGGGCGCCCCTCGCAAGACCCTGAACACCCACAGGTGACGGGCGCCCCTCTCAAGACCCTGAACATGCACAGGTGACGGGCGCCCCTCGCAAGACCCTGAACATGCACAGGTGACGGGCACCCCTCGCAAGACCATGAACATGCACAGGTGGCAGGTGCTTTTGAAAATGGTGAGCAGCATCCGTTTCCTGGTAAAAAAAGTTTGGGCTCCTTGGTTGTGATGACAAAGCTCTGGCCATTGGCGAGAATGGGAAACGGCACCATGCTACGTAATGCCTCTGGGCTCACCCCCATCCTGCTTTGCCTCACTGCTCCTTTTTTGTCTTGCTCGCGACTTCTAGAAGGTTCTGTATTTCACTAGCAACGTTCAGTCTGCCCCACACTGCCTAGCACTGTGCAGAGAGAGACAGGGCTTTACGTGAAACAAAGTAGAAAAGACGACATAAACACGTCCTTCTGTTAGGGACTTAAAGGGAAAGCTAGGATTTAAACCTGAGAAAGTCTGCATGCAGTCACCGTTCAACCTTGCGCAGCTGGGCATCTCTCCACGTCCTTCTCCAGAACTCCTTTAATTAACGGCATCTCAGCTGTAAGACACCGTCTGGGCGTCACAGCATTATTTTAGGTGCCACCAGGAAAGGAAAGAAAGCACTGGCCATGGGCCTTTGATTTCTAAGACCCACTTAAATCTGCAGTTGGCAAAACACAAACTCAGGAGATAGCACTTTGTCCTGCATCATAAAACAGAAACATATTCTGAAGGTGAAGTGCCTGAAGTGACTCGGGTCACTTGGTCCATGCCAGTCGGTAACTCAGTAACCGTCCGAGGGTCTCTCACTAGGGTCCATGCACTGCAGGAGGCAGTCCTGCCTGGTGTGCAATCGCCGCTGCCAGGCCACGTGCCACAGTCCCGCCCCGTGACGCCCCGGGCCTCGTGCCACAGGGACCACCCGCTTCTCAGGCGGCATCGCAGACCCCGCCTCTCTGAGCCTCTCCCTGGAGTCGGCAGGTTTGAGCTCCAGACCAGGGGTAACTGCTCCAGGTAGGACCTGCATCGGCGTCTCTCCCCGTCTCCCCGCCGCCGCCTCCGGGGTGAAGCTCACAGTAAATATCATTTACCAGCAGGAGCATTTTCTCATTCACTAGCCCAGTGGGAGCATCTATTTGTAAAATTCGTATTATTTACCATTGTTAGCAAATCACCCCTTTAATTTTCTACTCGTAAAGATTTGTTTGTTAAGATGAATATTATCTGTAAGTTAGAGCAGAAAAGCCACACTAAATTTGCTAGTGCCATAAAATAAATTGTTTTAATAATTAAGATACATAAATAAGGCGCTTATGATAAAACAATAAAGGTGTCTCTCAGCTCTGTACAGACATGAGTTTCCCACTAATTTGTAAGGAACACATTCATCTTAGTACATTCAAAGCAGTGGCCGAACATGGTGATTCTCATTTTTCTGCATAATTTTCTTCTTACATTCTGAGTTCACACAGTGTTACAGTGATGTATAGTGTTACAGTGCTCGGTAATCTTGAAGATACGCAATAAAATTCTTCTAACGGTATGTAGAAAATAAAAATAAAATAATTAAAAGTCATCTGTATAGCATTTTACGAAAACAAAATAATTAGTATTTTTTCTGTAAAAATAAATTACATGCTTTGGGCTGAAACGTCCAGGAAAGGGTTCAGTGCACAGCGGCCCTGGCAGGGAGCTCAGACTGGCTCCCTGCTGCCCCTCAGGTGTCACAAGAGGCGTGGTCCACGGAGAGCAGCTGGCTTCGCAGGAGGGGAGAGAACCCAGGAAGCAGAGCTAATTCACAAGCCCACACGCCTGTGATAGACGAACAAAGACTCCCTAGGAAAGCGCCTTTCTCGAGGCCCGAGGGGCAAACCAGCCCTTGGCTGTCCTTCCCAGAGGCAGTTCTCAATCCGGCCGCCCCTCGGTGCAGGGAGCGTCGGGCCTGCAGGTTGGCATCCCGTTGGAACTTAAAGCACAGTGTTGGCCACTGGCTGAAGCGCAGAGGTAGAACTCAGGACGCCCAGGACGCCTCTGGGAAGGGGCAGGGAAGTGGACACCCCCAGGGCCCCTGGGGGAGGCTCCAGAGCAGCGCCTCGGCCCGGAGCAGAGGGGTCCGGGCGGCCAGGGGCCCGGCATGGAAACAGGTGTGACGCTGCGGCAGTGAGGGGGCCACGCTTGCTCTGTGTGTGGAGAACAGGGGATGGGCTGGGGCTCACTAATGGAGCGGCGGGGGGGTGCCGCGGTCGCCCCCGGGGCCTGCGCCGGCCTCCCGCGGCCTGCCCTTCATCTTCCTCTTCTTGGGCCTCCCCTCAGCCTGCTGTTTGCGTGGCTTCTTCCTCTTGCTTTCCTCTTTGTACCAGGGCCCCCACACGCCCCCGTTGAGCTGGGGGTTGCTTCTGGGGTCCCCGGGGGGGTACCTGACGGGCACTGCGGTCTTGTTGAACCGTGACAGCCGGCGCAGCAGCTGCCTCACGACGCCGGGGTACCTGCCGGAGAGGTCCACTCTCTCGTAGGGGTCGGCCGTGATGTTGAAGAGCCACACGCTCTTGCCTGTGGACAAGGTGACCCTCTCGTTGTGCCAGCGGCTGGGGCCCAGGTTGCTGAAGGCCTGAGGGGGGACCCAGTCGCTGTAGCCGGGGTTCCCGGTGAGCAGCTTCCAGTGCCGCACCCTGATGGCCGACTGGATGGCCGTGTTCCAGATCCCGTAGCCCGCTGCCCAGGAGCCGCTCCTGGCCTTGGTGTACATGGGGTCGATGTTGTGCAGGATGTCCACGCGGGGGGAGCGCAGGCCTTCGCTCAGCGTCTCCCAGATGTCGTAGCCGTCCAGGCGGGCGTCCTCCTCGATGCGCCCTTCGGCCAGCGCCACCAGTGTGGGGTACCAGTCGGTGATGTGCACCAGCTCCCTGCACACGGTGCCGGGGCGCTTCAGGAGCGGGCTGTGCACGAAGCCCACGGCCCGGATGCCCCCCTCCCAGTAGGTCCCTTTGCTGCCCCGGAGGGGCCAGTTGCTGCCCCCGGCGCTGGGCTGGCCGCCGTTGTCCGAGGAGTAGATGAGGACGCTGTTGTTGTAGAGGCCGTGCGCCTTCAGGGCCAGGGTCACGTTGCCCACCGCCTCGTCCAGGCAGGAGAGCATGGCCGCGTACCTGCGCCTGTGGGTGTTGGCGATGGACCGGTAGGGCTGGAAGTACCTGCCCGGGGCCTGCAGCGGGGAGTGCACCGCCTGGTAGGCCACGTACAGAAACAGGGGCTTCCGGGGGTCGTGCGCGGCCAGGATCTGCTGCACCCTCTGCGTGTACATGTGGGTGGAGTAGGTGCCGCCGTCCCGGTCCCAGGCGGCACGGTCGTCCTCGTACAGGTCGTAGCCGCACATCCCGGGGCCGTCGCACTTGTAGTGCGTGTAGTAGTCCCCGCTCCCCAAGAGGGAGCCAAAAAAGGAATCAAACCCCCTCCTGGTGGGCATGCAGTCTCTCCTGTAGAAGCCCAGGTGCCACTTCCCCACCATGTGCGTGGCGTAGCCTGCCTCCTTCAGCTTCTGAGGCAGGGTGGCATTGTCCAGCGGCAGGCAGTTGGGCTGGGTGGGCCTTATGATCGAGTGCTGGAGGCCCGTGTGTATCTGGTACCTTGGCAGAAGGGTAAAGAGCTGGTCAGTGCAGAAAAGGTCATTCCACAGAAAACAGTGACCCCTGCACCCAGCTCCTAGGCCGAGAGCGTCACCCGAGCAAAGACCCGCTCCGCACGCCGGCCCACAGCGCCCCCCCCGACGGGCAGCTTCCTGCGCAGCCTTTGAAGTGCGTTTGACCACATCGGTGCTTCGGTAACGAAGACTGCACCACTCATCTCAAAGTGTCTGTAAAGTTCTTGCAACAGAATTTATTTGAATAATCTTTAATCTTTTAATTAATTACATGACACAGAAAACTAACATGATAAAGTAAAGGATATAAATTTCAGAGTATTAGTATTATTTTTTAAAATTATTGTTATTATTTTTTTCATCTAGGGACCTCACATTAGATCCTAAATCATTTCCTGAAATAACTTATTTCAAGCTGGTCCTGAAGTGCTAAAACACACAGAGACGTCTTCTATTCCACTGTCAAAAATAGTTTATAATTATTCCTCAACCTGTTAGATCTGTCAAGAGAAAGAGAAGGTTTCTGACTCACATTATTGTTGAAAAAACATTTTATTTTACTTTAAATTTTTAATTTTTCAGTTGCAGTTGACATCCAACATTCCATTAGTCTCGGGTCATTGTGTGGAAAGCGAGTTTGGAGTCAATGCGGCCGCTGCTAAGGACGGGTGACGTGTCCCCAGAACACAAGGACGGGAGTTCCTTCCTGTTCCCCACGGTGTCTGCTTCTTAAAAAATTACTCACACAGTCGCTAAAGAAACATGGTGACCCTTTCTGGACGTTAAAATTAAGGGACTGAGTTTTTAGTGTTGTTCTTTCCCATGGAGATTTTGCCGTGGGCTTTTTTCCAGAGAACGGTTGTCACATAAATGCAGGAATTTTCAGTTTGGGTCAAGATGTGCCTATGAGTTCATGACATTTTAAAAGCTGTTGATTCTGCCCTGGCCGGTGGCTCAGTTGGTTGGAGCGTCACCCCGGGCACCAGAAGGTCTAGGGTGTGATTCCCGGTCAGGGCGCCTCCCCGGGTCGCAGGTTTGATCCCCAGCTGGGGCAGGTACTGGAGGCAACGTATCGATGTGTTTCTCTCACCTCGACGTTTCTCCCTCTCACTCTCTCCCTCCCTCCCTCTCTAAAATAAATAATAATAATAAAGCTATTGATTCTGTAGTTATTGTGAAAGTTCAAAAAGATTTTTAAACTAGAAAATACAGAAATTCTGCGAAAATGAAGGTTATAGACAGTGTTAGGATAAATTGGAAAATACTCTTGGAATCAAATTACACAGAGTAATACAAGGTCCAAAACAAAAATCTCTTTTGAACTGACTGAGTCTGGAAGGCCAGTGTGCCACAGATGGCTTGGGCGAACGGTTCAGTTCATTTTTAAATGCCCAGCAGATGGTATAAAGCAGCTGTGCGCTCCCTCCAGGGTTCACCGCAGCAGCCGAGGCCTCTGGAAGGGCTGTGGGGGCGTCTGGGCACCAGCCTGAAGCAGCCCCAGGTGGGCCCCGGCTGCCAGCTTTCATTTGTCACAGTTGTGGAAATTTAACAAACGCCCAAAGAAATACACATGTCACACCCTTTTTAGCACCCCGTTCAGAAGATGTGGTTACTGTAACTGGCAAGTTGCATCAGTTCAGGACCAAAACACTTAGTGGTACAACCACCAGCTTCCTGCAAGGACCTGACACACTGGCAGCGCCTGTCAGTGTGACCCCTGCAGGAGTTAAGCAGGAGCAATCTGCCGGTGAGAACTCCGGGAGGGCTCAGTGTTACTAGCTAAATAATTACTGAAAGCCTGAAATGTTCTTGGCTAAGGGTCCAAGTCTTTCTAATGATACTGGGCATTTTCCTCACTGAGCACAGAAGGCAGGGGGAAGGGAGGCTTTTGAGACGAGTGAAATTCAGGAACCGTCCCACAGGAAAGAACAGTGCGGCGCAGGCGGCCGCGTTCAGAAGGTGGGTCAGCAGGGAAGCCGGGCGGGGGCTCCCGGGAGAGGGCTCCCAGGCCGGGAAACTCAGCCCACAGCAGGGAGGCTGGGCAGGAGCTCAAGGAAGGGAGGCTCCTGGGCACCTTCTGCTGAAACGACCTCAAGGCTCTTGGGCCAGATGGGAGGGAGCTTGGGGCAGAGTGTTGGGCCTGCGTGAAGGGTGTGCGTTCGGGTCGGACAGGCCTCGGTTACTAGTTGTGCGACTGTGCAGCACTCAGCCCTCTGCCCTCAGTGTCCTCACTGTGAATGGGGCGGCGGGCATGCG